AAAAGAAATATAACCACTTTGCCATTAAAAACCAAAACTGGACTAGCCTATTTGCTGCAACAGCAGCTGTGTAAATGGGAAGAAAGAGAGAGAGAGAGAAAAAAGACACGGGCTCAGGTCAGACTCAGGCCGAAAATTTTGATAAGCTGTCGGAAGGGCCGGGCTCTATTCATTCCCTCGGCTCGGCGGGCCCACAATACGCCCGGGCCCATATGCACCTTGCATACCCTGGCTGCATACAAGACGCTACGCCCCTGGCCGCAAATCAAACGTTTTTACGGGAAAGTAGCTCCACTATTATGTGAACTTTATCTTGGACGATGTACTAATCACCGATTAACATAATGATCGACCTGTTTTGATTGACGAGGACAAACATTATGTTAATGCTATGTATGTGAAATAGGCTATTGTTTTCTGAGATCTCACTTTTTGAAATGTTATGTTAATGTTTGGGATTGATTTAAGTTCACCTGTTAGCCTAACAAATACCGGATATCAAGATTTTTTTCTTTTTTAATAGGCTATAGGCCTATGTTTTCCCCCAAAGTTTTCCTAAATTATAAGATTTGAGATATTTTTCATTTTAAGCTACAAACTTGGAAAAGTTTTAAGTTAAAACTATTGAATATGGCTGAAATAATTGTTATAAAATCAATTATTTAATGTTTCTCCGTTATAAGTCATCACCTTTGGATGTGTTCCAAATGTTATCCGTTATAATGATATTCTATAAATAAAATATAGTACTCTGAAGTAGTATATATGGTATAAAAATTAGAATATTTAAATAGATTAGGCCTATATGATAACCTACATACAAGCCTATTTATGCTAAAATGCCTTACGATAATATCTGCCATCAAGCAAAGTAAACAAAAATGTGAAAAAGTTTGTTTTATTAAAAAAGAACAAAAACAAAGTGCAATTTCTTCCTATTTACATGTGGTCGTTCTGGCTGTTCACCAGCTGACATATCTAGTATCATACATTAAAGGAGAGCTGAAGAGAACATGGTGATTATATGTGATATGTGGAGGCGGAGACTGTCCGAACTGAGGTCCTGAAGATAGACGAGGTCTTTTCGCTGAGGCCAGTTCACATCCTACTGCTGAAACAGTAGCTTCATATTCATAAACGTTTTTAATCTTGGTCGTTCCACGCTGTGCGTCTATGTAGTGTGCGTGTTCCTCCAAACGCGTGCTGCGCATGCGCTTCACTTCGCGGTCGCTCTTCAATAACGAATCTATGGAAAAAGGGCCTGTAAATTTGCCTTCACTTTTGTTTTCTGTGACCTCGCAGGCTGGAGTAAGAGGCTCAGGAGCATAAGAATGGTCTTCACACTCATCCACCGGTTGTGTCTGAATCGACAGGCCAGGGAATATGTTGATTAGATGTTTGAAATGTCGGCGAAACATTTTTGGAGTAATGCCATTTTCATCCACTTTCCAGAAGTTCTTTTTAGGATTTGGATAATCCGGATCGACTGGCACCTATAAACACACAAACATAGAAAAGTATGTTAGCTACTAACAGTAGCCTATACACGTGGATTGTAATTCGTTGCCTCAAAAAATAAAATATAAGTTGACTAAATTTAATAAACTCACCTTTGCAAAACACCTGTTTGATGAAAGACAGACTCTGATGTTGTTCTCAATGCCCTTTTTGTCTCCGAAGACAAATGGTTCCAGCTTTTTCATTATCTGCACAAATAGGGAATATGTTAGCATGCGTCAAGACTGCGGAGTCTTATATTTAGCAGATTTACGACTTTTAGGTCATGTTACCTGTTTGAACGTGAGCATCTTGTCTGGTGAATCTTGAATTGCGTATGCAATAAGTCCGATGTAAGTTCCTGTAGTGTATCTTTTGTATCTCCTTCTTGGAACGCCACTTGATTCTGCCAACAGACCGCGGAGTCCTCCGTTCACTCCGTTAGTCATGATGAGCTTCTGGTCCAGACTGAAAACCGAGGAGATCAGGCCCCATTTATAGCCATGCTGTAGCCCTCAATGCTCTAAAGGTGTTGCATTCTGTTAGTAAGTGCTGTTCATAAAAACGAGGTGTTAATGGCTGGGCGGTTTCTTATTCCTCTAAACATTCATTGCAACAAGAATTGAGGTTAATTGTTGATTTACTTTGTTTTTTAGCCTAAAACATTGGGCCTGATTTGTTTTATACAAAATGAGGTAACCAACAGTGCAAAGTTCAGTGGTGGAATGTAATTTCCCCCCAAATTAAATTGGTCCACAGTGTAAATTAATTAAGTTTGCTAAGCGAGAGCCTTTTGCGTTATTTGATTCGAGAAACAAGTAGGCTATAAAGAAGGCAACATCTGATTAAAAATAGCTGATGTAGAATTGTTTGTTTGTTTACTTACTTTCAAACCCTACATATGAATTGAATATTTCAACCACTATTACCCCGCCACGGTGTTTTTATATGCCAAATTTTGTGTCAGTTATCTGAATCAGGTGTGTAGGCCTATACGTCTTTATAAAAGGCCATACCACTGTTTCCGCTACAGATAAAAATAGAAAAGTTACGACTTTTAATCGCACAATTCTGAATATAAGCTCGCGATTCTGAGCAAAACGTCCTAATTGTGAGCTATAAAATTGCGAGAATTTTTTTATTTTTGAAGGAAGTCTCACCAAAGTTGCATTTATTCGATTATAATACAGTAACATTGCGAAATATTATGAAAATGTTATAAAAAATGTTTTGTTAAATGTAATTAATTCCTGTGTCATTAGGCCAGTCTTCAGTGTCACATGGTCTTTTAGAAATCATTCTATGCAGATTTGAAACATTTAGGGCCTATAGCCTAATTATTATCTGATTCATATTTTTGTGGAAACCGTGAAACATTCTAGTCAAGATTATTTGAATAGAAAGTACAAAAGGGCAGAATTTATTATCATTATAATCGGTCATTGTCAATTAATTTAAAGTAAAGTAAAGTAAAGTAAAGTAGCCTATTGTTGTATTTAAAAAATATATATCTTACTGACACCGAACTTTAAACAGAAGTGTGTAGCCTTGTGAAAATGTAGAATTAGGTTGGTTTAACCCATCAACCATTTTAGGCCTGTTTGAAAGAGATGTCTAACTGCACATTATCTACCGCTAACGTGTTTTTTAATTGTGCTTTTAAACTAGCGAAATCGTTCAACAATTACAGTGATAATTGCGCACATTACATTTGCAATTCACACGAGGACTGTTCGCGCGTCATTCCATTGACACACCGGAACGACAAACCTGTCTAAAGTTTCTTACGGACAAAATAAACTGTAACAAACACCATTATATACTGTTTTTTCGTAATGTCGTTATAATCACAATACATCATAGTATAACACGTGAATGGGAAGAATGAACGAAGAAAGCGCCCCGTCTGAATATATAATTATCACTCCGTCTAGAAACCAGTGTGTATACACCAGCTGCTGGTAAGTGTAATATCACATTAGCACCTTCATTTTTATTAAATTAACAATATATTTATTTTATTTTTTTCTGCAGTGAGGAAAATGGAAAATGTGTGAATATGTCAAGGATCAGGGCACTTGCTCGTTGGATGAAGTGTATGCAGTCTTTATATCTAATGAAAGAAAAATGGTGAGGCTGATATACGCATATATAACAATCATGTTAGTGTACTGTGTATAGTTTATATATATATATATGTGTGTGTGTCATTTTACAATTAATGCAGATACCCATTTGGAAACAAAAATCCAGTCGAGCGGATCAACCAGTAATCTGGGTACGAGCATTTTTTAATAAGGAAAAATTATCGTAGATTTTTTAAAATTGACCTTTTACTAATATAATATTTATTTTTGTGCACCTGCCTTTAGGATTACCATGTTATTCTTCTACACGTAAATAAACAAGGACAGAGCTATATATGATTTAGACACCATCCTTCCCTTCCCTATTTGATGGATATTCAAAGGAGGCCTTTCGTTCTGATGAGCATTTAAAACCTGCTTTCTGGAGGCAAGTTGAGAACTGATCTGATCTGAACTGCATTGTAACAAAAAGTTTATAATACTAGCCATATCAACGGTTATCTGCTGCGTTTCAGGAAACTTTGTGTCATACCAGGCGACACCTACAAGTTTGCTTCTGATCGGTCACATATGAAGGATTCAGATGGGAACTGGCGTTTGCCACCCCCACCATACCCATGTTTAGAGACATCAGGTTTGTTGTAAAATTATCTGTCTGTTTTTTTTGCCACAATTCTGTAAATATCATGATTTCAGTTCATCTTCCTCTTACACTGTATGTGTTCTTTTCACAGAATCTAAAATGAATCTCGACGACTTCATCTGCATGGATGCTCGAGTGGGATATGGAGAGGTTTACAACCTTTCAGACTTTGTTCAACACTTTGGGGTTAAATAAAAAAAAAAATTTATGTTGAAAAATGTACATGAACTGAGCCTCAGGGAAAGATCCCATTAGCATGGACAGTACTGTGACGAAGCAGCTTGAAATACATATCTGTTGCCTGTCAAACACTTGTTTTTTTTGTTTTTTTTTACTAATAAAACAGTTCAGATCCCACACGACACCTTACAAGGTAATTCGTAATTACAGTCAGGTACAAAAATCACAAAGAAATGTCATAGTGAAATACGCAGGATGTAACATTTGTTAATAATATGCATACTTTTATAGAGAAATCAGTTGCAGCAAAAAATGCAGCATTCAAATTAACAACCAAACCGAAATAGTAAACTGTGTAAGCAGTTGTAGTGCTGTTGTTTAAGCAATTGCTGCCAGGTAATCCTTCACCTCAGCAGGTGACAGTCTGCGAAATCCTGCCTCATTACAGATGCCCACCTCGATGTTGTCCTCTGTCATCTGCCCTTCAAAACTTTCCTGTAAGAAAAAGAAAACGCTATAGATCTTGTTTTGAGCAATCTGATATATGAGGTTATTTAGAGATGAACTCACCTTCAAAGTTAAGATGGCAGTGTGTATAGCGTCTTCAAGTTCCAGATCTTCATTATATCTGTAATGAAATTGTACAAAGCCACGCTGTAAATCTTTTGCAAAATCATTTCCATCTTATACACTGCAATAATTCAAAAAGTGGATTACTTTGATACCTTTTTTCAAGGAATGTTTTTCCATTCACATAGTTCTTTCCCATTGCTGTGGCTTTCCAGGCGAAGTATGCTCCCTGTGGGATATCACCATTCAGACATGGTTTCACAACATAAATGGTTGCATGTTGAATTAAGAACAAACAGTGATGAAAAGCTTGTGATTGTTATTTGTTGTACCGATGGGTCTGACTGAAATAAGTACGGTCTGTCTTCGTCCCAACCGGCAATGAGAAGAGAGACTCCAAACGGCCGCACACCTCTACAAAACATGACACTAATATTACAACAAGAGCTCTAATTAAAGTAAGGTATAATAAAAGATAGAAAGAAGTCAACATACCCTGACTGTGTGTATTCTTGCATAACAGAAGCCACTCTCTGTACCAGCTGGCCTGTGGGGATTGGCTCTTGGTATACCAGGAAATACTGCTGCGCCAGCTTTCTTGCTCTCCTGACCAGCACCCTGTCAAGAGAGATCATTCCCAGAGTCATTCCTTACAGACCATCTAGATAACAAATAACAGATTTTCCATTTATGGGTGCACTGTTCCTTTAAGAAGGGCTTATTTTAAGAGTTTCATTTTTAGAACAAATCGGCCATCAATTTGAAATAAATACTGCACTGTTGTTTCATACCTGTAGTCAGGACCCATTCCACTGTACACCATGCCAATGTGTTTGGTTATGGGCTCAACTTTGTGCACACTCTGTTCATCATACAGTAAGGACTTCTGTTTCTTCTCAGTTGCAAGCACAACTCCATTTGATGCTGCAAATAATGACAAAAGGTCATTCAAAACAAATTTACGATTTAAGTGCAGCACCTATGGAGAAACTGTATACTGTAGGTAGCCTATATACAGTAGTCAACATTTGAAGTGGATCAAAAAAGATCATCAGAGCTGTCCTAAGACAAGAACGCATTTTGGTTTTAGGACAACTTTGATGAAAGGTTTTGATCCACTTCAAATGTTGCCTACTGTAGTTTAAATCTGTGGTGCTCAAACCCTTAGAAATAAGCAAATCTGACCCACCACCGCCCTAGTATCAAAGTATATAGTTTTGATTCCTGTTTAAATGCATTTCTGTCTTCTCCGAGTAGCAGTCTGGGCAATGACACTTAAATGCCCTTTCAGAAGCGTTTCTGCATCAGATATTCCATTTAAAAAAATAACCATGTAATTTTGATTTGATCATGGTTTGTGAAGTTTCTAATGCACTGATCTATATATAAACATACCTTTGATTCCTACAGATGGAGCACCGGCTGCTACAGCGGCCAGAGCATATTCAATCTGCACCAGTTTGCCAGAGGGGCTGTGTTGGGGGGAAAATAAATAAATAATAAATGCATTAGTTTGACAGAAATACATCTGAAATCATCTGAAGCTGAATGTATAACTTATTTTTTCGACCAATACATAATTTTGATTTTACATCATTTCAAATGTCATCATAAAGATTTTTATCATTTAAAACAGTGATTCTCAGCTTGAACGAAAGCTTCATACTACATTTTACATACTTAATATTATGTCACTGAATATAGTACAAACCACAAAATATTACTGAATAAAAAAATAATATTCGCCACAAAGAGAATTAAACAAAATCTGTAGTAAAACATGTAATAAAACAGGACAGTGAACAATCACTTGGGATAATACAGTAAACAGAGGAATAAATAAGTTCAGTAAAAAAATAACAAACAAAGCAGAAAGCACTAAAAGAGATAAATGAGCATAAGTAGTCAAGCTCCATAGTAACTAACATCGTGACACTGCATCTCTGATGTGACATACAATTAAGTACGTGTAACACATGTGAAAAACAAAACACAATCATTTTCACTGAATGCATGCAACAAGAGATTTATAATGACATTTTACAACCATCTATCAATCAATAAATTACAGAATTACCTAAATGTTGTGAGAGAAAAACTGTATCCCCGTTCTGCCATTTTTGTCTTTTGCTACGGAAGTACACCAACACAACTTCCGCAAACTTTTTGTGAAAACACTCGTCAAAATAAAAGTGTACAAACTAAATAGACAACTGACCACTCATTCTGTATCAAAGACAATTAATCGTTTCGTACCTTTCTGAGGAATAAAATTATTTAATTGTGTTAAAAAATGTATTAGCATGGACACGAACTTAAAATTGACATATTCTGCGAAGATTCATAAATGTGTAAATATAATGTGTAGATTTCAAAGTGCGGCAGAAATTTCCTAGCATTAGTTGCTGTTTCTTTCATTGCGTTAACATGCATGTGACCAGCAGATGGCCTCAGCGCGTGGTGTTTCGAGCCAATCATTTCACGAATTAATTGATTTTTTAAATTTTTTTTTTATTTAAAGATTCAAACAGCTCCGTTTCTTCCATCACTGAATACTGCAGCCACACAGAGACTAACATATGTATTACAACTTCAACATTGAACCTAGCTCATTTTTGTTTGGGAATACTCCATCTTCAAAACACAGTCACACATACAATTATTACAACAATAAAAATAAATAAAAGTACTTAATCAACTTATCCATCTTAAATCATCATCTTATCAGTTTGAGTATTTGAGGAAAACCTTTATTATGTAAGTCTTTCCGACGGAAGCTGTTGAATAGCGTCAGTCGAGCTTCACTTCCTACCGTGTCTTAACGCGAGGTATTTGTCTTTAAATATTGACCAATCTGCCACCTTTCACCTTATAAACATCATGTTTGTTGTTTTTAAAGGCGTTTATGGTTAACAATAATGTTATTTTTAATCTGAGCCGTTTTGTACATCGCCACTACTCCGTTTGGATCAGTTTTGATTAAGGCGGATGAGCTAACGTACTAGCTAATGTGATCTTTGCGGTCTCTATATTGCGATTTTCGGGTTCTCTTCCTGGGAAAGACACTTCTCGTGATCTATACGTTTCTGAGCGTGTATTTTACATTAATTATAAACATGTATAATATTTTTAACGTTTATTATCGTTATGATGATTTATTTTCTGATAAACCCTGTCGTTAGATTGTTAGATTGTCCGATTTATTTCACTTGTGTAAATCAGATAGTTATCGCTTTAGGCATATTTGTAAGGGATAATTCTCCCCAAAATGAAATTTCTGTCATCGTTTACTCATCTAAATGTTGTTTCAATCCTTTATGACTTTTCTTCCATCACTGAATACTGCAGCCACACAGAGACTAACATATGTATTACAACTTCAACATTGAACCTAGCTCATTTTTGTTTGGGAATACTCCATCTTCAAAACACAGTCACACATACAATTATTACAACAATAAAAATAAATAAAAGTACTTAATCAACTTATCCATCTTAAATCATCATCTTATCAGTTTGAGTATTTGAGGAAAACCTTTATTATGTAAGTCTTTCCGACGGAAGCTGTTGAATAGCGTCAGTCGAGCTTCACTTCCTACCGTGTCTTAACGCGAGGTATTTGTCTTTAAATATTGACCAATCTGCCACCTTTCACCTTATAAACATCATGTTTGTTGTTTTTAAAGGCGTTTATGGTTAACAATAATGTTATTTTTAATCTGAGCCGTTTTGTACATCGCCACTACTCCGTTTGGATCAGTTTTGATTAAGGCGGATGAGCTAACGTACTAGCTAATGTGATCTTTGCGGTCTCTATATTGCGATTTTCGGGTTCTCTTCCTGGGAAAGACACTTCTCGTGATCTATACGTTTCTGAGCGTGTATTTTACATTAATTATAAACATGTATAATATTTTTAACGTTATGATGATTTATTTTCTGATAAACCCTGTCGTTAGATTGTCCGATTTATTTCACTTGTGTAAATCAGATAGTTATCGCTTTAGGCATATTTGTAAGGGATAATTCTCCCCAAAATGAAATTTCTGTCATCGTTTACTCATCTAAATGTTGTTTCAATCCTTTATGACTTTCCTCAGTCCGTCACCATTCACTCTATGGAACGAGAGATACAATGAAAGGTGAGTGAGACTGTCTGCTTGAGTGAGTCAGTATGCCTGATGTATGTGTTTCAGAGAAGGCCATGGCTCGTGGGCAGCAGAAGATCCAGTCTCAACAGAAGAACGCAAAGAAAGCAGCTGAGAAGAAGAAAGCTCAAGGAGCGGATCAGAAGACTGCAGCCAAAGCAGCGCTGGTCCACACATGTCCTGTCTGCAAGGTGAGAAATTTATGTGACTTAAGTTATGGCTGAAGGGTCACTGGTTTGAGTTGGTTCTCTGAGGTATCACTGTACCTCAAACTTCTCTTACCTTATTAAGAAACGTTGTTATTCCTTGTGTAGACACAGATGCCAGACCCCAAGACCTTTAAACAACATTTTGAAAGCAAACACCCAAAATCTCCTATGCCTCCTGAGCTGGTGGATGTTCAAGCCTAAAGGATGCAAGAAACCAACATGGACCTTAAACAGGGGTGAGTCTTATACAGACATCAGAATCAAGCCCAAAATATTCTGACAAAATGTAAACCTGTCAATATGGCTGTATAGTCATCTCATAATTATGGTCCAATTTTCAGACCCCGGGGAAAGAAACCTGATTCGACTCGGCCGACTGACTCGACTTGCTGTATAACATTGACCATGGACCATGTGGACACAACAACAAGGAGATCTTAGGACGGACTCGAGCACACCAGCGCACACACATATTTCTTGATATTTTTATATGTGCATATTTCTTCCATCATTTCCGAGTGTGCTGTGACCTAACCGTCTCATTGCCATGTGCTTAAACTTGACATTTATTCACCAATGCCCCACTTCACAATCTGTCCCTGTATTTTGATTTTTTATAAAATGGATTAGGTGCTGCAATGTATAAAAATGTATGTGCCCTGATCTTTTAACTGTGAACCACAATGGAGAGGTGCACCAATGTGTGTGTTATTAATAGTACTGACCAGGATTGGAATTGAGATACATTGATTGACATGCTCAAAATGATTACAAATGCTGTAAATTTTCACCTGTTAAAGTTGTCAGAATAATATGAGTCAGGACCCACGGATACGCTTTTGTTACTTTGTTTTCTAAAGTTTTCAATAAATGTATATGCATATAGTCTATATGTGTGTCATGGTTACTAGAAAGAACATCAAGAGCACGGGTGTTATTAACTGAAAAGCTGTGATGGTAACTACTATAACTATTAATGTGAAAATAACTCTTTAGCATTGGATTTTTCCACACTATTTACAAAAACGTAAAGAGAATTTAGTTAACAAATACTTGTATTAAAACGGCATTCAGTAGTAGTTTACTTAGCGTTTACATCGCTGATCTTCGTGTACTTCAAAGGTGCAATAGGTGATTGTCTTCAGAAACATTTTTTGTCATGTTGGTTGAAAGTCTCTTTATATCCCGATAGCAATCATTAAGTGGTCTAAATGAATTTATATGTATTTATATATACTGTGGAAGTAGGACCAAGAAATGTTCGTCCAATAAAAACGCTCAGACTTTCCTACCTGCCGGTCAACGTGTATTAGCATACCTCTGCACACCTGGTTAGCGCAGAAAGGATATGTCATCAGCTCAATCACCTACATTGTGCAGACAGAGCGGGAATGGCAGGCAAACATCAACAACCTGATCTTCCTTCCTGGTATTGTAGTACTTTTACTAACTGTACTATGAAGTTTTCTCACCAGTGAATAACATGATGTATTGTAGTAATATGGTCTCTGGTCGTCTGATCTGTGAGCGTATATGCGTTCAGGGGGCGTGGCTTTGGACGGCGATATGCAGGGAGGGTGGGACGTTCGCTTTCAGTGCTATCAGGCGAAAGTTAGCATTTTCCAAGATCTCCTACTTCACCTTTAAGCACTGATACCACAGTCTCTGTTTGACGTAAGTAAGGTACTATTTTTTATAGAGTGGTTTTAAAAATTCCTTTACCCGTCCAACAAGAAAAGCAACTTGGGCACCACTATTTAAGATGTTCTCCGTCAGCAAATCTTCACACATTGTGAACGCTATACCGAAGTTTACTTCTTATTTGTCTTTGTTTTCTGGTTTCAAACATTGTCTGCTTCTTCGGCCGTACATGTACTGATTGCCCCCTTGTCTCTGTTGGTAAAGCACTTTAATAAGCTGTTACCTTATGTAATTTTCGCTTTTGGCATCACCAAACTACACAATGCTACTTGCGTATCTGCAGAGGCCGCAGCCAATGAACGTGAGGATTTTCTCAGAAATCATTTCAAAAACGTATTTCTTAAAAGGGTAGTTAACCCAAAATAAAAATTATCTTATCATTTACTCATTGTTCCAAACCTGTATAAATTTCTTTCTTCTGCTGAACACAGAAGAAGCTATTTTGAAGAATGTGGATAACTAAACCCTTGACTGTAGCCACTGATTTACAGAGTATTTTGTTCCCCATAAGCTACACTGGAAATTCTTAAAAATATCTTCTATTGTACTCAACGGAAAAAAAGAAACTCATACAGGTTTGGAAGTATGAGGGTGAGTAAATGATGGCATTGTTTTCATTTGGGTGAACTAAATTAGCGCCAAACTACTGAATGCTACTGAAATGATTTTGTCCATGTGTGCAGCCTACTCAGACTGAATTAGGGTGGTCTTTTTAAAGTTCTTTTAAAAGCATTTTACCAGTTGTAGATGCAAGAAAAAATTATTTGAAAGTCAAAGCAATGCAACTGTGTGAAACATAACATTCCACAAATAAAGAATTTGGACAGTTTAAATGTAAGACAGCTAGGCAAAATATGTATTTTTTATTATTATGGGATGGATTCCAATCCTAAATCCACTCACAATAAAATTGTGACAAATATGCTGATAAACCATCATGACACTTCAATAACTATCATTTGTCAATCATTTGGGACAGGTAAGAACGCTCAAATTTGGCTAAATACATTTTTAATCACTGTATATTACAAATGGTGCCTCTGAGTATTATAATACATTTACATTTGTTTCGGATTTAAAACTTGAATGTACAAGAGGTTATAGACAACCACAGTTCTTGACCACCATATTTCGATGTTTCTTGAGAATAACATTGTTGTTGTCATCATAGAAGAGCACAGAGATGGGACTGAGTTTAGTTGGAGCGCAGCAGGCTTTGGGCACTTCATCTGGTCTTAAAAGGTGAACCTGCCAGAGGAGTCGGTTTAACAATTAGTTCATTTTGAAGACGTCTCCTAGCAATGCAGTTTAGAAAATCACATACAGAAATATCAAAAGTAGAGATTACACACCAGTAGCTGGATCATGGCGTGGTTTGTGGCATTCATACAAGAGCCCAGAGGATAATCACATTCCCCATCACAATAATACGCAGAATAACCTGTAGGGGCCAAAACCCAGTCCTGAAAGAAAATTTTTTAAATTTTATCAATTAAATATTTAAACACTCTAACAGCACAGAGACTTTCCTGTCTGTATGTGTGGCGATAAGTTAATCACTGAATCATTCACTCAATTGATTTGTTTAAAAACACTGTTCACTGTTTTAGAACTTTTCCGGTGGCAGAGCAAAAATATTCAGATCAACTTTTAATATTGTGTCTAAAATGTAAGTGACTTATTGTTAACTTCTTGTTTGAATGCGTAAATGTATAAAAGCCAGGATGTCTCACTTTCCAGCCAAGGTCGCTGAAGCTGACATAGAGTTCATGTTTCTTACAGGCCTGGCGTCCACTGCTGGCATGATTTTGGTCTGGAACAAGTGAGATGAACATAGCTCAAAAACAAATCATTTCATATGCTCCTTTAAACACAATCTGCCTCTTAAACCGCTTATTGTGGCTCACCAAATATGCCGGGTCTGTTTGGGTGTGGCAGGTCATACTTGGGTTTTTTCTTGCGTGGATTGTTGTGTCTCAGAGCACGAGGTGGGCGGCAAGGGGCTTGACTGGCTCTGAAGAACGTCACCATGAAAGGCTGTTTAGAGCGCGGCCCACGCCGACCCACCAGACCCACCCATGCGGCTGACAACGACCGGTCTGTGAAAACAAGATTTCAGCATTTTACCATTTGACCCATGACACTGAATGTGTTTTGCTTCAATAGGTCAAAGCATTGCCAAGATACAGCCTGTTTTTCATAAATTTAGACCAAAAATGTGTTGCTTGTTATAGCAGAATTCAATACCAGTTGATTGCAAAAATCAAAAACTCCTTCAGTAACTTTTGTGAGACTTGGTCTAAAGATAAAACAAGATTTGTAGTAGGAGTTGTGGGAAAATATTTAGCAATATATTTAATGATTGTAAACATTTAACTTTTTTAATGCATTAGGCAGACGCTTTTGGGGTTGTTAGCGCCATGCTCTACTGTTTAAGCTAGAGTAAGGCTACAATGAGCAATTGAATTTAAAAGCACGAATAGAACTGAAATTGAAAAACATTAAAAACTCCATCCATGTTAAATCAAGTTGGGTTGAGCAACTAAGGCAAAAGGACAAATGTTTTTTTGGAGTCAAGACCAAAAAAGTTTATTTATTAATATATTAATAATATTTTTTATTTTATATATTAAATATTAAAAATAAAATAAAAAAAACCAAAAGATTATATATCATATTTTACTTTATTTTTGTAACTATTTTAATAATAATAATAATTATTATTATTATTATTATTTTTGTGGTGTCACATGGTGTCAAACCTGAAGTGAGAAGCAACATGCAATGATGTTAGACTGCTTTCAGAGTTATTTAACCTCCATGCTGTGCATAAGGAATAGCTCACCCTCTTCAGTTTCCACATAAAGGCGGATGCCCAAGTTGCTCCGAGGGTGGAGAAGCCAGCGATTGCTCGCAGAAGTCACATCAAATGCCAGCCAGCCCTCTTGACCCGCAGGCACAGACTGCATGTCCAGCAACACCAGCTCAGGCTCCCTGTCAAACCACAAGATCTTAATGTCATTTCCATTATAATGACCGACAATGGATCTCAGGGACATTGATGAACGAAGAACTACCAATTTCATGTCAATGATTTATGTTTCCTAAACACTCAAATCAAATGACATCTTAGTTTCCTGAATCAGATTCAGTACTACAAATATGTATAAATGATCATGTATGACTGTGACCTGTGTCTTTTCTCCCTCTGGATTTCATAGACAGAGATATGGAGGGTGCGGTTTGCACGCCAACCCACGGTAAGAGTTTTATAGATGCGAAACTCAGCAGCAGTGACCGTCTCTCCCTGAGGAAGCGGAGTGAGATCGAAGCGGAACTCCTTCCAGTACGGCCGAGGCTGCAGCAGATCCTTCTCCTGCTCCACTGTGGTCAGAGACAGAGGCCAGAGAGAGAATTTAAAAAAAAAACTACCACAGAGCGTATGTGTGAAGACACTTAAGATGAAGAAGACATGTTGGAGGACTGATTGGCAGGAGAAGAAGGGGAAACAAAAAATGGAACATTTGTTCTGGTGGAGCTCGGCAGATCGGACTGACACCCACGGCTGGGGCTCTGCAGTGGGGTAATTAGAGGCGTTGTGGAGCTGCTGTAGCTAAGCGCACCACCACTAATTACAGTCCAGTGCTGTATTTTTAGAGGAGTGCCCAACAGTATTTTCATCCACTTCATCTCATCTTTTTTCTGCCTTTCAGTGGGGCCTGTAATTCCCCACAGCTGTGTGCCCACTACAACATCACATGACCTGTGTGATCTGGACTTGCCTTTGTAGATCCACAATAATCAAGATTTACATTTAGAAAAGCACAAAGAAAAGGAAAACACTATATTAAAGACAACAAGCAGGAGAAAGAACTTGACTTTTACGTTTTTTGAAGAACATCATAAACTCATAAACAACATGTGTTGTGAGTGATTTGCAATATGTCTGTCGTGTGAAAAAAAGTCCATTCTTGAAAATAAAGGTTCTTAATTGGCATCTATGGTTCCATGAGGAACATTTATCATCTATGGAAACTTTAGAAACTTTAAGGTTCTTTAGAGTTAAAAAAATGAGATAATTTAAGAACTGATCACTGAAAATTTCTTTGGGGAGCCAATAATGGTTCGTCTATGTAATTGTTGTATAACTCCCCTTTTTGAACCTTTATTTTTAAGAGCGAATGTACAAACGTTTTTTTATGTAGTGGAAAAAGTTCTTTACATTTTTTAAATGCTCTTTAAGCCAAGTAAAATGGTTCTTTTAAGAACTGAAAGATTCTTTGGAGAACCAAAATAGTTCTTAAATGGAACTGCTGTGAAGACCCTGTTTTAAACCATATATTTTCAAGAGTCTATTGGAAAAAGGTTCTTCAGGTTACTCAAATGTTCTTTAACCACTGTTAGAACTGTTCACTATAGTTTTTTTTTTTTTTTACTTAAAATGGTTCCGTCATCATAGCATACCTTTATTTTCAAGAGTCTACTGGAGAAAGGTTCTTTAGACTATTGAAGTGTTCCTCACACTTGTAAAAAATTGACCATTTAAGTTCACTAAAAGTCTTTGGAACCATTTTTTAAGAGTGTCCAATCACTTACAAAAGCAATAACACACCCTCTTCACATGATTTGAGGCATCATTAATGTTTGTAGCACAAACAGTTATGCAGCAAAGTTTCATAATTAGGGTTACAGGTTTGTTTAAATCACTAACCCAAGTATGAGCAATAATAATAGTGATGCCTGCCTTAGTAAACACCACTAGTTACATCTGAGAAAGGGGTGATACTGACCAATAATAGTTGGGCAGGAAAGATGTGGAAAGAGAAGCAGCAATTGTAAATAGGATGTTAAACTGTTGTTTGTTTCGTGACAGATAAGTATCGTCTGTGTTTGGGCTGAGACAGGAAGAGATGATGGAGTGATTGTGGGTCTGTCTCAGTGAACAGAATGTATTATCAATACACACTACAAGCCTTGTCAGCCTCTCAAAATCACTGGCAATTGGCACTGCAAATGAATAACAATCTGGCTTTTTGTGCTATGTATTATTAATCTTGGCCCCCCAAAAAACATTAGGGCACTGAAGGCAGACTTAAAATGTCATTAGCTGCGTTTACATGGACCCTACTAATCCGATCGTAATAGGACTAGAAGCACAATCAGAATAAAAAAGTCACATGTAAACACGTCAATTGGATTGAATTGGCCAGATCCGACTAAAATTTAGATCGGATTGTAAGGGGTGGATTATTCCTTTTGTAATCCGAGCGAGAGGAGATGTAAACACTTGATCGGATTGAAAACCGAAACTGGAAAGTACTGCGCATGCGCAGTGACATAGAAATAGCGTAATGATGTATGACACGCGGAACGGGCTGTTCTTCTTGGTGAATAAAGTGTCATAAATGAGTGTCCCGTTATTATAAAATTCCCCTTTCACTCAGCGTCTGTGAAGTGGAGCAGGACAACGTCCCACAAGTCCTTGTTTAAGACTCTCATCAACAGATGACTGGTTTTGGGTGCGGGAAGGGGCACTTTTACTGCTTTATATAGTAAGCAGCACAGCACAGCAGTTCATGTGCTGGTCGTCGCCTAATTAGGACCCGAAGTATATAAATATAACTTGTGCTTTTTAAAACAGTATGCGACAACAGCGGGAAACTCTATATTCATGCAGTGTGCGCATGTCAAAAGATTAAATCCAATCAGAAGCTTGTGACATATAAACACGCATATCAACCTGATCACTTTATTTAGCGTTCATGAAAACACTACGTTTGGATTCGTCAATCAGAATGAATTAATTCCGATGGAAGCAAAAAGTGTCCATGTAAACATACCTATTGTATTAGTTAAAATATCAAACCAAGTGGCTTTTGCAAACAAATTATATTACACTTGTTCTCATAACTAACCACTTTCTAGTAATTTTTTCTGTGGACATATGGAAGTCTGTTACCTCCTCAAAACAAAACAAAAAAGAAATAAACAAAAAAGTAAATACAATAATAAATCATTATTTACTAAGTAAGCTCAGTGGCAGGACACAACCCACAGTCCACCGAGCATCAGTACCCCAGTGGCTGAGGAGGGTAGTTTGAGCACAACTTCTAAGAACCTGGAACCCAACCAGATGCAGCTTGCTTCGGAGAAGAATATCCAAGGCTACAGACCTCAAGTGAAGTGGCCAAAGTCCGGCAGGAAGAAAGAGTGGACAACAGTCAACGCAGACCTGAGTAAGATACTGAATGAACTCAGAGGAACAGCAGAGAAGAAGCTGGATAAAATGAGCAATCTGGTCTACTCATACGGAGTGGAAAGATTCTGAGCAAAAGAGAGAGGAAAGAAGGAAATGACAAACCCTCCCAAGTCCAGAAGGCAGCAAGAAATCATGCGCCTCGTCAAAGAGAGAAGAGATTTGAGAAAATTGGAAGAAATCCTCACCAGAAGGATAAACCTTCTGCAAGCAGATCTAGAGGAACGCCTGGGAAGACTGTGGAGAGCAGAAAACATCCGAACCCGACGCAAGAAGAAGGAGAGGACAAGAACATCCTTCTACAAAGATCCCTTCAGATTTGTGAAAGCTCTCTTTACAAAGGAAAAGAGTGAGTCACTTAAAGTGTCAAAGGAGCTGGAGGACCACCTGAAAGCAACACACACAGACAGCCAGAGATATGAGCAGAGGGTGATCCCACCAGACATGCCACCCATTCCTCAGCCAGAACATCAATTGAACGACAGCCCTCCAAGGTGGAGTGAGGTTGAGAAAACTGTGAGAAAAGCAAGGGCAACTTCAGCTCCCGGTCCAAACTGAGTTCCATACCGGCTGTACAGGAATGCTCCAGAGGTCCTTCGGTTCCTGTGGAGGCAAATGAAAGTGGTTTGGAAAAAGCAAACCATCCCAAAAACGTGGCTAAGAGCAGGGGGAGTGCTAATCCCAAAGGAAAAGGATGCCTCGAACATCAACCAATTTTGACAAATCAATCTCTTGAATGTTGAAGGAAAGATCTTCTTTAGCATTGTTGCTCAAAGGATGACAACATACCTGAAACAGAACAACTTGATTGATACATCGATACAGAAAGCTGGTATACCAGGCTTCTCGGGATGCTTAGAACATACTAGTATGATATGACATCAAATCCAGACTGCAAAAAGGGAAGGAAGAGATCTGCATATCTTATTCCAGGACTTGGCCAATGCTTTTGGATCCGTCCCCCATTCTCTCCTATGGACAGCCTTTGAGTTCTTCCAAGTGCCAATGACCATTACACATCCGGTCAGAAACGACTGCAAAGATCTGCAATTCTGCCTTACAACAACAGAGTATACAATCGTGGCAATCATTGGAAGTGGGAATAATGGCAGGGTGTACCATCTCCCCCCTAGCCTTTACTATGGCAATGGAATTGATCATTCGAGCTTCCAAATGGGTAGTAGGAGGACAACGTCTGCAGTCTGGACAGCATCTTCCTCCTATTCGTGCATACATGGATGACATGACCACTCTGACCTCAACCATTGCATGTACCAAACGTCTACTGGCAAAGCTTCATGCCAACATAACATGGGCGCGTATGAAGTTAAAACCCAGTAAATCTAGAAGCATATCCATTGTCAGAGGGAAACTCATAGACCAGAGATTTCACATCGGTGAAACGCCCATTCCAACAGTGCTGGAGATGCCAGTCAAGAGCTTAGGGCGATGGTACAATGCAAGCCTCAAGGACTCAGATCAGAGTGACCAACTGAGGGAAGAAACCATTAAAGGCCTTGACAGTATAAATAATACCTTGCTTCTTGGCAAGCTGAAACTGCGGTGCCTGCAATTCGGATTGCTCCCTCGTCTAATGTGGCCTCTAACAGTCTACGAGGTCCCCATTACCAAAACTGAGAAGCTGGAGAGAACAGTCAGTTCTTATATCAAGAAGTGGCTTGGACTCCCACGATGCCTCAGCAATATCGGCCTGTATGGGAAAAGTGCCCTGGAACTGCCTGTCTCAAGCCTCATTGAAGAGTACAAGTGCACCAAAGTGAGACTGGACATGATGACCCTGACCGAGTCTCAAGATGCTATAATACAAGCGGCTGCTCCCAGATTGGCAACTGGGAGCAAGTGGACCCTGACTGAGGCCATACAGCAGGCAAAATCCGCTCTCAGGCATGGAGACATTGTAGGACAGGTGCAGCAGGGAAGAGGGGGTTTTGGACTTGGGACAAGCTGACCCATATGGTACAAAGCAACATCGGCCCAGAGGAGTAAACTGATAGTAGCCGAGGTCCGACAGCAAGAGGAGGCAGAGAGATGCACAAAGGCTGTCTCGCAGTCCAAACAGAGAGAGTGGACTAATTGGGAAAATCTGGAGCAATGTAAACTCACCTGGAAGGATCTTTGGGAGATGGAAGGAAGCAGATTGAGCTTCATCATCAGAGCCACCTACGATGTTCTCCCCACACACAAGAACCTAAACCAATGGATTGGAGAAGATCCATCATGTCCTCTCTGTCAAACCCCAGCAACGCTAAGGCATATCCTCGTCGGCTGCAAAACCAGTCTTTCCCAAGGACGTTACATCTGGAGGCACAATCAGGTTTTGAGACAACTGGCAATTATCCAGAGAATCACCACCAATGCCCTCCCTCCTCCAACGCCTGGATTCTCAAAAGCCACCAACTTCGTAAGAGCAGGACAGCTTCCAGTAAAGCCTACTACAAAAATGGAAACAACCCTGCTAAACACTGCCTGGGACTGGAAAATGTAGGTTGATCTGGACCAGAAGCTCAGCTTTCCACCTGAGATAATTACAACTAACCTAAGGCCAGACCTAATACTGTGTTCAACCTCACAAAAGTCCTTGTTCATCGTGGAACTAACTGTGCCATGGGAGGCTGCAATTGGTGAAGCAAATGAATGTAAAAGGCTGAAGTATTCAGACCTATTAACCGAAGCAGTACAACGGAGCTGGCGAACACAGTTGCTCCCCATAGAGTTTGGGTGCAGAGGTTTTGTAGCCACGGCAACAACCAGGCTACTGAAGGGGTTGGGAGTCAGAGGACAGGCCTTACGACAAGCCATTAGGTCGCTGTCAGAGGCTGCTGAGCGAAGCAGCAACTGGCTGTGGCTAAAAAGGAAGGATCCAAAATGGGCTGCAAAAGGACCTAGAGGGGTAAAAGCAGAGGGGAGCGCACCTGGGACACCAGGTGTTGCTGTTGAGCCCTTTGGAGATGTCGTGGGCCTATCAACGAAACACAGAGGAAGGAGGGTGCCCACCTGATGACCCCTATGAAGTGATTACCCCTACGCTCCACTCAAGATGTCAACAAAGTGCTGATTATTCTAAGGGATTGTACTATAAAATCCTACATGCTCAACTAATTGTGACTTTATATCTAACAGTGTAATTTTGCTTCTTATTTTATTATTATTATTTCTTTAGTTTATTAACTTGATCTCACGTGGCATAAGGCAGACAGGCTTTCATATAAACCGGTGTTGTTACTGTTAGCTAAATCTAAAAATATATATTTTTAATTGAAATAAAGCTAAAATTAAATATAAATATTAGATGAAAAAAATTAATAAAAAAATAGAAGTATTGCCTTGGCAACTAACTGAAATAAAATAAGCTGAATTTTAAATACTAAAACAAAACAAAAAAAAAAGAATCAAAATATTAAAACAAAACAAAAACTAACAACGAAAGCACATAACAAAATTACTAAAACTATAAAAAATAATTTAAAAAAAAACATTTTTTATATTAAAAATATAAAAAAAGTTAATTCAAAATATTAATAAAAATAATCTATAAATAAAATATAGTATATAAATAATATTAAATTAACACTGACATTAAGTTCCAGTTCCAGTTTGACAAACAGAAAGTGTCCAAAACACTTTTTTGTAAAAGTATTTGTTATTGCAACAAACTTCTCATTGTGAAATGTTTAGATTGCCTCATCTTTCTTTAAAATAAATGATACTTGGTCTAATACTTTATGTAATACAGTGACATTTACACATTTTCAAATGTGGTTTATGTCCACACATGAGCCGCTGTATAGTAATTAATGTGTTCTATATAAGTGAAGTGTGTTTAACCCTTGCCAGCTGTCACTTACCCAGGTTGACAAAGCTCATAACCGTGTCCGCCTCACTAACCACTGTGCCGAGGGGCGGCGTGTGCGTGCTTAAGGTGGGCAGCGCCGCGTGACTGACCCCTTCCGGAGTGAAGCCCAAACCCGGGCCATCATCGGCCTCGGACGACACGACATGGTAAAGGTCCAGCATGAAGAGCGGTGCGGAGGAAGGGGGCCGCAGTGGCGAGTGAGGTCTGGGCCGGCCAGGTAAACCCAGAATGGATAAAATCTCCTTCTGCATCTCCTTCTTTTCACGACCACTGAGTCTGCGGAAGCTGGAATGAACCACTCCTTCCACCTGAGCCCAAACACACAGCAGCATGCAGAGAGGGAGGAGGACAGGCAGAGGAAACAGTCGCTGGTGGCCTCGGGTTCGGCTGCCACAGCTCTCCTTCCTCCCTCTGCTGCGGTGTGAGGACACAAACTCAACCACACACTCTTGTTTGTCCATTGGTGCAGCAGAAGAGCTCTGCTCCATTGCAGCGGTCTATAAAGATCGTATTTGTCCTTCCAAAACCTCTGGGTGTTTACCCGACGTCGGTCTTCTCTGGAATGGTCTGACTACCGTCTTGAAGTTCAACTCTGAATGACACTCAGACGTCTAAGCCATTCAGATTCCACAGCAGTCATCGTTATTTGGGAGAGTGCAATGTTTACTGCTACAAGCCGCTCAGTTTATCGCCTTTTGACAGTTGTTCCTCATGCTGTCACTTTATTTACCAAACCGCAGGGCTTCTCTCATAATCTACAGTGTGCTTACGGAGATGGACGACAAAAAATATCCTAGAAACTGGAAGAGAAAACAAACAGGTCTTCCTAGAAGCTCAACTCCCTTCAGCGGTGATCTTGAAGTTGGAAGGACTAAGCACAATGTGAAATTAAAGTCTTTAGCTAAAGTAAATAAAAACACAGGGCCTCACAAACATTAGGTTTCAAAGTTTTTTTCTTCAAAGGTTTCTGGATCAAACACAACACCTGCTTATGCTCCTTTTGAGAAGATGAGTCGCGACTCCAAGCTGATGAAATCCTCAAAGTTTAATTGAAAAACAAAAAGCTACAAAACGTCCTTGCAGTACTCAATCAATATTGGAGTTAGAACATTTAATCCAATGAGTGGAAATATCCAAGACTCCTGAAATTATTATTTTCTTTTTCAAAATTGTATGATTTGTTCACCAAAGTAGCGTTACGGACCCCAAACGTCTTTCCGAATTGTAAAGTTGCGAGATCCCAGTGAGCTGTGGTATTCTTAGCCTGTGTGCTGCTTGCGTTGAAGGCATAATCTGAACACGGGTGACCTCCTTCCCTCCAAGATACACACTTACGCAGAGGGAGTGTTTCCAACGACTGGATCCTCCGCCCTCTCTTCCCTAAACCCTTCTCACCTCAATCTCCATCTACTATCAAACCGTCTCATCTTCTACACATACCTCACAAATTGCTGACAATTATCATGTGGTTTGCCATAAAGATGTTCTCAGATGTGATCTAGCCTTTGCACAGACTAGAAACGAGTTCTTATGGCTATGGTAATATGAAAACTATATTTACATTCTGAGGTTTCAACAGTAGCCAAGGAGTGACAGATCACTGCTGTCTTACTGAAGATATAAAGATGGCAATTTCGAGAAATTTGTGGGTTCTACTTGGTGTGAATAGAAAATGAACTCTTAAAGCGGTCCCTGCAGACAGGTAGTGAAAATGTGACCCTGGACCACAAAACCAGAGTCATTGTTTTTGAAATTGAGATTTATAAATCATCTGAAAACTGAATAAATAAGCTTATTAAGATAGGATAGGACAATATTGTTAGGATAGGACAATATTTGACCAAGATACAACTATTTGAAAATCTGGAATCTGAAGGTGCAAAAAATCTAAATATTGAGAAATTCGCCTTTAAAGCGGTCCAAATGAAGTCCTTAGCAATGCATATTACTAATCAAAAATTATGTTTTGATATATTTACGGTAGTAAAAATGTACAAAATATCTTAAACGTGATCTTTACTTATCCTAATGATTTTGGCATAGTCTAAAAGAAAAATCGATAATTTTTACCCATATAGTGTATTGTTGGCTATAGCTACAAATGTACCCATGCTACTTATGACTGGTTTTGTGGTCCAGGGTCACAGTATGAACCAGTGACAGAATTGATTTTGCTTAATCTAAAACCATTAAACCATTTTATACCTTTTCTTAAACACACACACACAATATGCAGACAAAAATATATTAAAAAATATGTAATAATTTATATACCTATGTACACTTAATAGACCACTTTACCATTTTACCTAAAATCTTGTTGAAATCTGAAATAAAAAAGAGGTCCATTGACATGCCATTTGTCAACTGCGCAAATACACCCATATAAAGTGAGACTTACTGACATGTGTTAATAGGAAAAAAAACACTAAGAATGCAAAAAGTGAGTGGTTATGTGTATTTAACTCAGTTGATTATAAAAATGAAATGACACTGCAGGACTGTAAGATGCCATGAGAGCTCAGCAGTGGTGTGGATGGTGTTTGGTGGGAAAGGATGTGAGTGGGTTTAAATATTTGTATATAAACAGACACACAGCTGCAGAATGGAGATGATGGAACGCCACCCTTCCCAAACCCCATCCGCTGCATCTGACCACCAAACATACAGAGTCCAGTACAAACACACACTACTTACGTGTGACCAACACACACGGCACAAACAAAGGTGCTTCTATTCACTCGTGGGCCATTTCTGAACTCCTGAACGACTGTAAATCTTCTATAAAAGCACAGTGTGTTCAAATCTCTGCACACACCAAAGCCTCGTCCCCTTTTGAAGATTTAATGGGGTGTGTCATTATCTCTACTTCTTGTAATTACTGTGCCATTTCCTGTTAACTGTGGCATCCCTGCACGCTCACACACACACACACACACACACACACACCACTCGACAACACAAAACCAGACCGTTTTACTGCAAGCATTGTTTTAATACAAAAGAGAACAAAATGGATTTATAATCATAACTTCTTTACTTTTACACAATTGCACCCCTGTTTCTCTCAGTCATGTCAAAAGAGTAACATAATCAAAAGGTGGATCCTTTCACAGCCCTCACCTCCCTCCCAATGACACAATAAATAAATAAAAATCACCTTTCTTCAGGTATTCATATACTTCAGCTTGTCAAAGACAAGATTCAAAGCGCCGTTTTTAACGGGGGCTACGCGAGCCGCCCCCATCATTCATTATTTAGGGTGCTTCCGTCACGAAAGAACAAGTAGGAAGCCACTTTTGACGTCATCTAAAGTGTAGTCACCGGCAAAAAGGCCACCATTGGAATCAGTAAGCTTCCTGGTCAGTTATAACATCAGTCGGAGAAATTCATTACGTCAGGAGCGGATGTACAAAAACGAAACCAAGAGTGATTCCGGTTGTGTTAATACTCGTCATTCTTAAGAGTTCATATGATACTGCAATCACAAATAAATACAGCTCTTTACTCTAGAAAAGAAACAAAATGTCAGGATTATAAATTAACCATGAAACAAACATTCACAATTGTAATCATTTTTGCATACTGTGGAAAAGCTCTGAAACATGATGTCTGTAACAAAAGGACACAACTAGACTGCGTGGACACACAGCGGAGAAGACCGTCAGTGTGAACGTGTGCTGTGCGCTATAGGAGTTCCTTTAAAAGGATCACGTGTGACGTGAGGAATCTAGTCTTCAAGGATCTTCAGGCGTGGGAAGGCTAGAGATATGTATCCTCCTCCACTTCCTCTCCGTATTACTGCGTTCATTTACCATGACAGGAACTACCACACATACATACACACAAACATACATGAGTCCAAAAAGTCCCAAGTGTCCAGGAGGAAAATGTCTCTGTTTTTCATTTGTTTCCTCTTGTTTGCGGAGGCACAGACACTCATTAGAGACTGGTCTGCATATACTTGAAAAGGGCGAGTCTGTCCAAGCAAAGTGACAACCATGCATGAGGTTTGGAGAGTGACGGGCGGTTGCATATTCATAGTGAAGAATAGTGAAAACCCCTGGTGCAGGACTGACGTCCCTCCCGAGTGTCTGTGTAGATATGTCTGCTCACACCGGATGTTCTCCATCGCACATTCAAGAAAACGCAATGTCAGTCAAATTAAGGACATGATGTAGAACACAAATAAGGCAGCATTATGGTAGGTATTGATCTAGGTGGTGTAGCAGTGTGCGGCTGTGCTGGACGCTGGAGAGAGGAAGGTGTTGGTGTTCTCCCCCTGCTGGTTAAATCACAACCACCTCAGAGTCAGTCACTTAGACTGATAGGGTGGAGGCTTCATTTCTTGCCCGCTGGTGTTTTGGGGCTGGGGGCCTTCTTGGAGATGGTGGGGATTTTGGAGGGTTTGGCCCCAGGCCGGCGAGGGGTGTCTGAGGTGTCGGAGCAAGCCGAGCGTGTCTCCATGAGCTCAGACGTGTCTGAAGCGTCGCTGCCCCTTCGGCTGCTGGCTCGGCTTCCAGCGCGACTCCCTGCTCGACTGGCTGGGCCGCTCGTTGAGGACGGGGCGCGTTTGTTGTCTAATGAAGGAAGATGATTCAAGTTTAAAGATTCGGTAATATAGCAAATCAGGGTGTATTACAAACATAAAGGAAAGCCAGATCAAAACTTTATATTAGCAGAGTTGGGAATAGCAACACTACTACTGTATCTAACCCATTACTGACCAGTAATTGGCTAGTTTATCCAACATGTAGAAGTGGAATGTGACATTTTTTGTGCCCTGTGATTTAGAGCAGAGCAAGTTTATTAATATCAGAAAATAGGCTTGTTTGGATTGATCAATGAACCGTTTAAAACAAACAGCAACAAAAAATATTAACTCATTTGCTCGAGTTCCTGTCCTAAAGGTTTTCTTTCTTTCTTTCTTTCTTTTTTTTACTGATATAATGACTTTCTCCTGCTGTTCATCACTGTCTTTGACTAATATAAATTTTTGGTGGTTTCTAGTTTCATTCATTTAGAATTTTGTGAAAATTAATTGTTACATTGTTTCATTATGCTAGACAAAAAACAATGCCAAAGTATATATATTTATAATAGTGTACTGCAGGAATGCATCCTGAAACCCGGACATATCCGGTTCCATTGCCCCAATGGCTCAAAGGGTTTTCTGAATGGGTTTTGGTTTAGGTCTGTGGTTAACACAAGCTGAAGATATTTATTCTATGACATAAAATACATCAGTAAAACCCCATTTTTGTTGTTAACAAGTGGCTAACTGGGACTACAGAGGTTGTCGGGGACATTTTTCATCATTACCCAGAAGAGGAAAACTCATCTACTCGCTAGTCCACTTTTACGGCCTCATTTTGTTTAAAATCATGGTCTTGCAAACTATTACAACTCAAACTTTTCAACTTGTACATCTTAAAGATTGAAAGAGTGGTGGTGATGATGAAGTCATGCCTCTGTGTTATAGTTCATTTATAGCCTACATTTAGCTTTTTACTTCTGTCGATTGTATTTAGGATTCAAAATTCATAAAAGTTATTTGTGAAGATGATCTTGAACGTGTAAAAATCATAAACTTATTGGTTGCAGCACTTAATTATATTGCCCTATTAAATAGCTTCAATACAGTGCTTTTTGTGTTTTCCAGAAGGGTCTGTTTGTACGTTCAATTACGCTTACGTTCATGTTTCTTTCTATAGTGCTTTTCACAATACATACCGTTTTAAAGCTACTTTACAGAAAACGCTTGTTACATTTTCAGTGTACTTTGTGATGTTATAGTTTCAGTGTAGCTTTCTCAACAATGGAGATTATATTCATTCACATCAGTTTAAAAAGTCTTGAGTGAAGCAGTTCAGGGTTTGGTACCGGAGCGTCCAGGTTTAGCAGCGGTTGGTGTTCCACCATTCTCACCGGTTAAGGAGCCACGGCTGGAATGGAAGGTTGGTCTTTTCAGTTTAGATGTGGAGCCTCCCTATAAAAGCAAAGAGAGAAAGTTTATTACACACAGACATATTTCCCTGTTGTAGCTACAGATAATAAGACTAACGGGTAAATCTGGTAAAATGTAGCTAAAAGTAACTGGAATTTGTTTTCTGGAAAAATCCAGCTACTTTTAATGTTCTACCAGATGCTCTACCATGACCTGGATGAATAAAAACTGTCATAACAAGAAGGTTTAACAGAATAACTCCTTGATGAACATGAAATTAACTGTTTCTCAAGCCAGCTACATCGGTCTGTTCTCACACTGGAGACTAAACTGCATAAGGTAACAGTCTACACTCTTTAGCAACATATAAGGGCCACAGAGTAGGTCTACCTCAGGTCCTTCCCATTTGTTGAGATCAGGCCACACTTAAAGCTTTTACTGTTAGTGTGCTAGGGCACTGGGAGGGGGCAGTGTGTTACCTCATGCCCAGGGGTCTGGCTGTGCTCTGGGCAGGACTGGCACTTGGTTGGTGTTGGAGTTTTACTGTGTGCCAGCCAGGGCTTGGCATAGCCACGAGATTGGGATTGGGAGGACTGGGAAATGCGGTAGCAGAAAGGACGTGGAAGAGTGGAGTAGCAAAAAAGCAGTAGGAAGAAGCCAGGATAATCGGAAAAAGAGTAAAGTGGAGGGTGGCGATGCAGCATGGCAGAGCATAGTGTTTTTGTAGGTGGAGATGAGCACAAATAGGGAGGAAGGATGGAGGAAGGCACATTTTCCAAGCAAGGGAGGGGAGAGGGACAAAAAGACAAAGAACAAATAAAAATCTCACAGATGACAATGTGATTTTGACATGCAGAGACAGTAGTGACCATGTCCTGATCCCAAAACAACAATGTAAACAAACACCACAATCAGAGACAGAGAAACCATCCACCAAAAAGGAGACATCACACTGCTGATTTCAAGACATCTTAAGGATTAGTGACAAGACTCAAATGTCGGCCTGGCCAAGTAATTGGAAATGATAAAAAAAAAAAAAACTAAATTTTTTATATATATTATATACACAAACACACTACCGTACAAAAGTTTGGTGTCTCTTAAGATTTTTAAAAAATGTTTTAAAAAGAGGTTTCTAAATGCTCACCAAGGCTGCATTTATTTGATGAAAATTGTAGTAAAAACAGCAATATTGTGAAATATTATTACAATTTGAAATAACTGTTTCCTATTTGAATAGATTTTAAAATGTAATTTAATCCTATACTGGGAAAGCAGAATTTTCAGCAGTCTACAATATTGATTTGGTGCTCAAGAAATATTTCTTATTTTATAATATAAAACAGTTGTGCTGCTTAATATTTTTGTGGAAACTGCTATTTTTTCAGTACTTTTTCTAAATGAAAGTTCAAAAGAACAGCATTTATTTGAAACAGAAATCTTTTGTAACATTCTACATGCCTTTGATCAATTTAATGCATCCTTGCTAAATAAAAAAAAAGTAGTGTGTGTGTGTGTGTGTGTGTGTATTGAAAAAAAAATCCAAAAAGGTTGGCACCGTACTAAACCAGTATTACAAACTTTGTTCATATTTAATATAGGACTTAATGCATTAAATGCCAGCAAACTTATAAAAGCTTATGGGAATATTTTCTTAAGATATATCTTTTTAATGTTTAAACTTTAGATGAAAACATAAAACACATGCAATTACACATATTTAAATATTCGTAATACTTTGTAACGTACAGATGTAGACAAGGGACCATGATGAACATTCAGATATGAAGTATGATGTTATGCGTTATGTGACAAAGGACATTTATTACCAAAGCTTTTGCAAGAGAAACATCAGTTATGCTCGTCTGCTAGATCGCTCTCATTACTATTAGATTTTGTCTCATATTTGGTACTGCATATATATATATATGCAAAGATCTCTTATGCGTCAACATCTTCAGTGCAGTAGATTATATAAGATTTTATCCCTTGTTTTTGTATAATGCTAAACATCATTACCAATTCTGCAAATGGTGTCTATACAAATGCTTGTAAACAAGCACAACTGTAGATATATCTACATAATCAAGATCTAGATAAATTGATTAAATGTACACTAGAGTTCAAAAGTTTGGGGTTAGTAAGATTTTGATGGTTTTTAAAGGTGCTCACCAAGGCTGCATATATTTGATCAAAAATACAATAAGAACAATAATATTGTGAAATATTATTACAGTTTAAAATAACTGTTTTCTGTTTGAATATATTTTAAAATGTAATTTATTCCTGTGATGGAAAAGCTAAAGTATTTACTGTTACTTTTGATCAAATAAATGCATCCTTGCTAAATAAAAGTATTATGGTCTTTCCAAAAAAAGACCCCCAAACATTTGATATGACACGAAAACTGTTGAGGCTGATTTAACCTTCAAATTTTTCATGAAGATATTAGTGTATAAGCATGCTCCCACAACAAACAGTAAGTATGGGTTATTTCCTTGTGGAGTGTAATATGGTGACACTCACCCTTGAGGAGGCTGTGGGTGTTGTGGGTGCGGAGGGTAGAGAGGCGCAGCTGTGGGCGCTGTGCGACGCGGATGAAGATGAACGGGTGGGCGAAGCCGTGCGCGACGAAGGTTTGGATCGCCGACCCCGGGACCGGAAGGCCGCCAGACCCTGCGTAGCTCCCTCTGGAAGAATGAACTTTTCTCGAAGCTCCAGGTTGGTACGTCCACGAGCTGCAGAAGATGAAAGGAGGAGAAATGAGATTAGCTGCTTGGCCATAAGGGACGATGATCAGGCGGAGAGCAGTGCGCTAATGTGGCTCCGGCCCACTGCTTTGACTCAATGCAGACAGAGGGATCGTTTACCCACTTTAAAAGCGGTCAGTGCACGTGGTGGACACGATGCAGGGGGTTAACAGTGAAGTGAGTCAGAGCAAGCATCTTCAAAACAAGAACTCACTAAAAAACAAAACAAAAGCACAGCTTCCCTCAGCCCACCACGTAAAAGTGTGCACACGCATAAACAGCGTCGACAGACACCTGAGGGTCATGCCTGATAATGCTTTTAGCAAACACTGAAAACCAACGCAAGCCTCCACGGAGCATTCTCAATAACAGATACCCAATGCAGCAGCCTTTGCACAACACACAGACCGGAGCAGCCAGCTGAGAGAGAGAAAGGGAGGGAGAGAGAGAAAGAAAGAGAGGAAGGGCTGTGCACAATGGCAGCAGTAGCTGTGGTCAGAAGTTCTCTGTTATGCCCTCAAGACATCAGTGTTGGGGAGTAACTAACTAAATGCACAGACACTTCAGTTACAGTTTTCAGTAGCGTTACAGTAGGACACAGAATGTAGCCTTACAGATGGTCAAAATGCAACAAACGCTCACTTAAACTAAGTGGGATTCGTTTTAGACAATCGTTTGAATAATTTATTGTGCAAAGTCCCTACATAACATTTTATGTCTACTGTTTTATAGCAAAATATTTCATTAAATGCTGCTGTTCATCAATGTTTTCAACCAAGTTATATAAATGTAGAGTGTTTCTAGCATTGGTGCATTATTAACTGACACTAAAACAAACTATTTTTTGTTAACTGAAATAAAGCTATATATACACATTAAATATTAGATGAAAACATTAACGTTACATTAATAGCACGCTTAAGTTTAAGTACTAAAATAAAAATATGCTTAAGTACTGAAGATAAAAAAAAAATTATAAATAAAAAAAACAAATGTCAAAGGCACATTATAAAATGTATAATTTTTATAGCAAATTATCAATAATTGATTATTACTTTTTATTAGGTTATGTATACACACACACACACATATATATATATATATATTAGTGCTGTCAAACGATTAATCGTGATTAATCGCATCCAAAATAAAAGTTTTTGTTTACAAAATATATGAGTGTGTACTGTGTATATTTATTATGTATAAATACAAACACATGCATGTATATATTTAAGAAAAATATGTTCATATATTAAATATATTTATATAGAATACGAAATATAATAATATAAATATATAAATGTATATACATGCAAATATTTTCAAAATATATACT